TATAAAATAAAAAATTGTACTGACGACCTATTTTCAGTCGTATAAAAACAAAAAATAGGATTTAATTATGCTTTTGGCATAATCCACCATTTACTTAAAATTAAACACTATCAACAGACTAGCGCAGAAGCGTACCTTATGATAGTAATTTTTATCACTGTCAGATATCATATATACTTGTCCCAACTCCGCCTCGTCCACACTGCGCTATCGTGTTTTATTTTTATGCCACGAGATCAATCAGTCAAAACATTTTCTTTAGTTAATTTCTTACTATTATTTGTACTTAAAATTAATACTCTAAATGTAGATCTGCAAAAATAAACTAAAGATATATTATTTCCATATATTTTCAAAAATCTCAAAGTTAATGAAATTTATATTCATTACATCTATAACGGGTGTTAAAACAATACTGAATTTGTTGATCGGCGTCAGTAGCTCAGGCTACAGTATATAATATTATAATCCAATAAAAATGGTAAGAACATAGTAATAAATGTCCTTAATTCTCAACGAAGTTACATCCCTATCGGGGCTCTTAGTACGTTCCGTCTTATAGTTTTAATTTAACTGATCATTACCATTTTTCGGCTTGAGGCCAATGTATTTTTTTTTTTTTTTTTTATATAGGTAACTTAAATAATATAAGATAAAAGTATATTATTATAATATACTATTATATACATAATAATATATAATAATATAATAATATATACAGCATTTTACAAATTTCTGATTGACTACATATATATTTATGATACATAGAATACTTCTTACATAATACATTTATTTTATGTATGTAATAAGTGGGCGTACGCACTAAGTTTACTTGCATTGTAGTGAGTAATAACTTAAATTAAATTTTATATGAGCATTTTGGTATTCAAATCTTTTAATCTAAAATAAAATATGCTATTGCGTAATTTTTTAATTCAGAGATAAACATTGTTAATTTACATTTTTTGCAAATACCAGATTTTTCACGCCTAGCTTAATTTAAGGTTAGTTAAAAATAATGATTCTTTCGAAATTTGAATTTGAATTTGAATGGAATGGCATAGTAGAAAAATGATATATGATAAAGAGATTTTTGATAAATGTGAAATGGTATTTATTTTATGATTTCTATATCCGTTTGTTTGATAATCGGTATCTAATATACATTCGTTTATGTGTATTATTTTTTGGTAATATCTTTCACAAATTTAAACTGATCAAATATGAATTTACACTCTTATTTCTTGCTTCCACAGTTCCCAAAGAGATTACTTAAATCGGATATAAAAGAACAAAAAAAAAAAAAGTAAATATTAGCTGATAAATCAAGAACTATATGTAACTAAAAAAACCCAACACAGTGGTGTTGCGGCAATGAGATGACGTTGCATAGTTGGGGGGTCCAATATAGATTTAATCTGACAGTGGTTAAAATTACTATCACAAGAAACGCTTCGATATAAATCTGTAGATAATGTTTAATTCTAAGAAATTGATGGATAAATACAAAAGCAACATCAACTTCTATTTTCCTTAATTAAACCCAGATTAGTAATTCTTATAATTATATATTATACAATTTTTAAAATTAATTGTTTTTAAATTATTATTGATTTTGATTTTTAATATGATAAAAGTAATCATTTTGAACCTACTTTTTTTTGTCCTTTAAAGTGAAAGTTTTAATAAAAAAAAAAAAAGAATTTATTACCATAACATTTAGCTCAACTTACAAGTTTCAAATTTACATTATAATATAGAAAAAATGAAATTGTTAAGATTAATATGCAATCAGGGAATTTTATAATTACTATTCACAGTACATTTATCAGAAAAGTTAGATTTTTTTACATTTTTATCGTAATAGATAACTGAAATAGAAATAATAGTAATCATTTCCTAATAACTTCTAATCATTCATTACAATGTTTCAAGTTTTGAACGACACCTATATAAAGGAAAATTGTCCAATTTTAATAAAAAGTATGTCAAATGAAAGATGTACTTATAATGTATTTAGAAAAAAAAAATTTGTGCTGATATATACATTTTTCGAAAAGTTATAGCATTTTTAAGTTGAAAATTTAAAATCGAAAATNTACTTACATTTTTCGAAAAGTTATAGCATTTTTAAGTTGAAAATTTAAAATCGAAAATTTTAACACAAAAATAGTGTTTTTTTAACTACGGCAGCCGTTTAAATGTAGANGGTTTTTTTAATTACGGCAGCCGTTTGCATGCAGAAGGTAAAGTGTCGGTACAAATTTTTTTTTTCATTTTACAGTACATAAAATAAGCTGTAATTTGATATATGTTTAAAGGACGCAGTATTTCCGGAACATTTTCAAAAATTAAGTTGAAAAAGTTAGTTTTTGTAAAAAAGTTACTATTTTAACCCCCCCCCCCCAGTCAGCAGGTTAAGTGTTAAATTTTCAAAAAAAATGATACCAAATGAAAGGGAAATATCTAAGGTTTTATTGTAAAAAATAATTATGTTGATTTGTTGATTTTTGAAAAAGTTATGGAAGATTTAAGAAAAAAAGTGAAAAAAATGACAAAATTTACTGATTTATAGATTTGTAATTTTTTGGAGATTTTCCCCATTTGCGGGGAACAAGGGAAATTTTTTAATTTTTAAGGGTAATGTCTTCAACTAGATACGATTTGTGATCTTTAGACGTATTGTTGAAAGAAATCGGTCCAGTGAGAACTGAGAAAAAGTAGTGACAGGCACAAAAAAAAAAAACACATCATGGTAAAATTAATACCTTCTCAGCTTTGCATCGAAGCTAATAATTAAAAATGTGTTTAATTAATTTTTTTCTTCTTTTTCCCTCGATTCTACCGACTATTTGCAAGGCAAAACCGCACTGCACTAAAAACTAACAGATGACTGTAAATTAAAGGTGATTGTGTCATGGATACTAACATTGCATTAAAAGATATAAAAAAACTTTTATTTTCTATTTTCGGTCGAAAAGAATTGATTTACAACCAGTAAAAATTTAAATAATTAGTTCCTCAACAATTTTAATTTTATACAATGTTTTAAACTTAACTAAATACTAACTCCATACATATTACTAGATATTATTATTATAAATTTTATGCAACAATAAATTATATAAAATTAATTTTTTCATAGTTGTGAATAAATTATTAACTACAAATGTGATACTCGCAAGACTTTAACGTTTAATAAGCGGTAGCATTTGAAATAATATTATATTATAATCTTATGATATTTTGTAATAATTTCTTCTTCTTCTTCTTCAGCTTTTACAGTCCTTGAAGGACTTTCGCTGCCTCTACTACATTCCTCCACATATCTCTATCAACGCTGTTTGCTATCGTCACTTCCTGGTTGCATTTGTTAAGGTCATCATTGACCCTGTATATCCAGCGCTGTCTTGGGCGGCCCCTAGGTCTTTTCCCGTTTATTTTTCCCTCTAGTGCTTTCTTTAAAATTCCATTTGACCTCCATACATGCCCTGCCCACTCAATTCGTTTGCTCATGAGGAAAGCGTTAATACCAGGTTTTCGATAAATTTGTTGTATTTCTCTATTAGTTCTTCTTCTGCACACTTCATTTTTTAAAATAGGTCCATATATCCTTCTGAGTACTTTTCTTTCAAAACGAGCCATTTTTTCCTCATCTCCTTTAGTTGTTGACCATGTTTCACACGCATATGTTAACACTGGCCGTAGGAAGCTTGAGTATAGTCGTTCCTTTGATCGTCTAGAAAGAAGTTTTGATTTGAATAATTTTTCTAAAGCATAGTAACCCTTGTTAGCGGCAGATATCCTTATTTTAATTTCGTTGTGCATATTATTTTGTTGGCTTATGTTTACCCCAAGATATTTAAAATCACTCACTTGTTGAAAAGTATAGTTTTCAACTACTAGGTGAGAGTTGTCCCTTGTTCCTCTCGTCATGACTAAATATTTTGTTTTTCCCNGTCTCATCATGACTAAATATTTTGTTTTTCTCTGGTTTACTTCCAGGCCCATTGGCTTTGCTGCATTAATTAAATCATTTGTTCTTGTCGCTACTTCTTGTCGGGTATTTCCTATAATAACTATGTCGTCTGCATAGGCAAGGAGCGTATTTTTGAACAGAATCTCCATGCCTTGACTCATTGGCATTGACCTGATCACCTTTTCAAGCGCCAAATTAGAAAGGACTGGTGATAGTGCATCACCATGTTTAAGGCCAGTTTTAACTTCAAAGCTCTCCGATAAACCGTTGCCAAACTTTACCTTGCACAAGGCATGTGTGTAGCATTCTCTTATCAGATGAATAAGTTTTTTCGGGATTCCAAATTCCTCTAGTACCATCTACAGTTTCTCTCGATTAATACTGTCGTATGCCTGTCTGAAATCTACAAAACACATGTGGATATCTTTTCCAAATTCATAAAATTTTTCCATTATTTGCCTTATAGTGAATATATGGTCAGAGGTGGACTTTCCTCTTATAAATCCAGTTTGATAGTCTCCAATTTTATCTTTGGAATATACTTCCAGCCTTCGTAGTATCGCCAGGGATAGAATTTTGTAGCAAGAGTCTAATAGTGTGATTCCCCTATAATTACCTGTGTCCATTGGATCACCCTTCTTGAAAATGGGACAAATGATGGCTGTTTTCCAATCTTCAGGAATACGATTGGTATTCCATATTTCTTTTAAAAATCCATGTATTTTATTTACAAGTTATTTAGTATCGATCTTTAATAACTCAGAATTAATATTATCCTCTCCGTGGGCTTTGTTGTTTTTTAAAATCCCGATAAGATCCTCGACTTCTTTATGACTTGTTTCCTCAAGGAGAGGTTGTGCCGTTTGATACATCACGCATTCATCTTCATTCGTATCATCGTGGTCAATGTTTAAAATACTCTAAAAGTGCTTTTGAAACTTTTGGATGATACCCTCTTCATTCGTAATCAAATATCCATCGTGGTCCTTGACAATACGGGCTTGAGCTTTAAAACCTTCCTTTATTGATCTACATTTTTTAAAGAATAATCTTGGTTGAGCCTATGTACTTCTATTTTTTGGATAAGATCTTTTTCCGCTGCTCTTTTTTCCTGTCTCAATATTTTATTTGCTATTTTTTTGGTTTTAATAAATTCTTCTGTATTATTAGGAGATGGGTCTTGTATCATTTTTATTCTTGCTTCTGCGCGTTTTCCTATGGCTTCTCTGCACCGATCATTATACCATGAGTTTTTAACATGGGATGTGTTTTCTTTTTTAAATATTTCAGATGATTTGTTAATCGAGTTTTTAACTATGTTCCATCTTTCATCAATATTTTGTACTGCATTATGAGATTTTTCAATAAGTTCGTTATTTAGATTCTGTCGGTATGTTTTGGCTATTTCGTGATCTTTAATTTTCTCTATTTCCAGGCGTGTTTTACTATTTAATTTTTTCTGATTTCAACTATTAGCCAGTTTGATTTTAAAAGATGCTATGACAAGGTAATGGTCTGTGTCTCCATCTGCCCCTCTATAGCTTCTTACTTGTCTAACACTAGTTCTATATCTTTTATCTATAAGTATATGGTCAATTTGGCTTTTAGTTTTTCCGTCTGGAGACACCCAGGTTTGTTTGTAAATTTCTTTCCGTTGGAATTGGGTGCTATTTATTACTAATCCTTTGGTTGAGGCGAAGCTTATTAACCTCAATCCATTATCATTGCTTTCAATGTGCATACTTTCCTTTCCTATAGTATATCTAAACACATGTTCTCGTCCAACTTGGGCATTTTGATCCCCAACTACAATTCTTACGCAGTTTCTAGGTATTAAGTCGAATACCCTTTCTAGGTTGTCATAAAAGGAGTCTTTATAATCATTGTCTGCCGTTTCTGTTGGTGCATAACAGTTGATTATTGCTATGTTAAAAGGCTTCCCATCAATTATTAGATAGCATAATCGATCATTTACTGCTTCGAATTTCTTTACTACAAATTAAAGACTCTTTCACTATAAAACCAACTCCGTACTCGTGTCTTCCATTATCGTTTCCACTATAAAAAACTGTCATGTTATCTGATTTAAGATGTCCCGAACCTGGCCATCTTACTTCTTGGAGGGCTACTAAATCTACATTATATTCTTTCATTATACCAGTAATGCATTTTAGGGCACCTGGCTTATACAGGGATCTTATGTTCCATGTTCCAAATCGAAATATCCCAGATTTTCCTGTTCCAGTTCCAATTCTATTTCCCAAATTATCTGTTGTATTCCGAGGCTTAGTAGTGATAGGTTTCTTAACACTGTTTTTTTACTGTGGTGAGTTGTTAGCCCACCGCCAAACCCCCAAACTGGAGGACCAAAACTGAGACAACCAATTAAGGTAATCTCAGGGCTCGGGGCCCCGGGTTCGCCAAACCCGTAGTGCTAATTGCTTAGCACACCCCTGAGGGGATTATAAAATTAAAAATATANTGAGGGGTTTATAATAATTACATATTCATTTTGTTTTACAGTATGAGAGCTTTATCGCTTTTATCAATGAAAATAATATGTAACGCATAGCATAACAGTCAATAGTAGAATGATGTGCTGCTCCAAAATAATATTAGGCGGCCGTACAGGTGTGTGCATGCTATACGGATTGATGGACAGGTGGTGATTGAAGAGTTCGGTTGTAAAACATCTAAAAGCGCATTCTCTCGGTCATATCGTTGTTTTGTTTGCCCGTATGGCGTCCTCTTAACAAAAATAACTACACGTGTACAAATTATATTATGCGCATAAATCACGACCAATCAAGGTTTGATTTGAACTTCTCGGTCTAGCTATCATAACCTTTTTAACTGGGAACCCAACTTTTCTCTTGTATTTGTTTTCCAATGATAAAAATACAGAAATAATTTAATAAGCCATTATGATGATCATTATTTTTTTAACAATTTAAAACATTTTCAAAAGTAAAGTTAAAAAAGTTATTTTTTCAAAAAAAGGGCACATTTTAAAATCCCTCTTATGTTTAAAAAAAAAAACACCAAATGAAAGTGATATATCTAAGCAATTAATTGTTGCGGCGTGCTCTATTATATGAGTATTATTATGATTTTTTTTATTATTATTATCATTGTGATAAGCGAACGATCGGTTTTACTCAGCGGAGAAAAACCAGTCTCCTAATAAATGCCTCACTATTCACATATAGAAAAGTTCGTGTTATTAATTTATAGTTAAGCGACCTAAGTAATATTATTCTCGTAAAAAATAAAATACAGTCCACAGTCGTAACATTAATAATAAAAAATGCAGTACTTAGTGTGTAAAATGCATTTTAGAAAGACTTGTTTTTAAGCTCTAAAATTGGCTGTATNGTTAGACCGCACAGATAAACAGTCGGAATAGTAAATTTATTAACGGTATATGTATAGTAGCGATAAAAGTAGTAGGTAAGTAAGGTCAGGGGATAATCATCGATTTGCTTCGTTTCTCTATAATGGCCCCTACAAATGATTCAGTGCCACTTACAGTAAGAAGAGGTCAATTAAAAAATACTGTAACGCGATTTGTGACTTTTATACATGGGGAAGATATCGATAAATATCAACTTAGGATACGAAGAGAAAAGTTAGAAGATACGTGGAATGAATTTCAACAGGTCCAGTCTGCCATGGAAGACGAGGCAGATGAAGTAAAAAATNACAGGTCCAGTCTGTCATGGAAGACGAGGCAGATGAAGTAAAAAATAATAATGAGAATTTTCCATATCGGATAGAGTTTGAGGATACTTACTTTAAAGCACTAGCGGAGGCAGAGAAAGTATTAAACCCTATGATTCAGCAAGGTCTTGTACTAACAGCGCAAAATACAGGAACTACTTCGACACTATCGGCAATTAATTTAGCTGCATTAAATATACCAACTTTTAGTGGCAAATATGAAGATTGGTCAGCCTTTTTTGATATGTTTCAACGCCTGGTACATTTTAATGCGGAGATAACGCCAGTTCAAAAATTCTTTTATTTAAAGTCATCATTAAATGGAGAAGCAGCTAGTAGTATTAGATGCATTGAAACAACGGATGCAAACTATGATGCCGCTTGGACTACATTAATTGAACGTTATAATAATAAAAAGGTGTTAGTTCAAAGACACGTCCAAAATATTGTCAAATTAGAACCGTTACAAGATAGTACTGCCAGAAGATTACGTATGTTAATAGACGACTTAAATGGTAATATAAAAGCTTTAGAAACTTTAGGCGAAAACCCAGGAGATTGGGGACCTTTACTGTTGCACATAGTGTGTTCAAAGCTGGATCGAGAAACGCTGAAGTCATGGGAGATAAAATCATCCAAGGATAAAGTACCAACTGTTAAGGAATTGACAACATTTTTAGGCGAACGTTTTCAGATAATGGAATCCATAGAATCTTCGCAATGCAGTAATAATTATTTATTAACTGTTGACCGGAAAAGTATTTTTATAAAACATGCGAACAATCATTGTAAATTAATGACTCGGTCAAATCCTCTGATAACTACAGCGATTAAGTGTTATGTTTGTAATCAGCCGCATACAATATATAAGTGTCCATCGTTTATTGCGTTATTGGTAGCCGAGCGCATATCTAAAGTGAACACAATAGGCCTAAAAATTTAAATATCTAAAAAAAATTTAAATAAAAATAAATAAAAATCTAAATAAAATTTTTTACGAAAACACGATAAAATAAAATGTTTTGGTAGATATTGCTTAAAGATATTGTCGATAACTGAACAAAACAGGTTTCCCAGTGCGGCCGCCGCTATAGGTCGCGATTTTTATATGGATGATTTTTTGAATGGTGACGTATCGCAGGCGGCAACTGATAAATTACGTGACGGTCTTATCGAAATACTATCAGCAGCCGATCTTGAATTGGGTAAATGGTCGTCGAATGAATCGTCGTTGATTAATAGTGTGAATGGCATTGAAGAGAATTTGACCCAATTACCTAATATAAATAATTCGATAACAAAAATACTAGGTTTGTGCTGAGACTCGCATAAAGATATGTTACAGTACAAAATTGAGATAAATAAAAATTTGATCGGACTGGGCTGATCGGACCAGTAATTATAAAGGTTAAATTAATATTACAAAGTCTATGGAAGGAACGTATTATATGGAATGAGCCAGTAAGTGATGTAATCCGTAAAGAATGGTTAAACTATAAAACTGATTTGAACGCGTTAAATGACTTAAAAATACCACGACAAATTACAATAAAAAATAGAATGGTAAACATTGAAGTGCATGGTTTTGCCGATGCTAGTATAAATGCTTATGGTTGTGGTTTATATCTAAGGTGTTCCAACGAGTATGGTAATAATTATAGTAATTTAATCAGCGCTAAAAGTAAAGTAGCTTCTTTAAAAGAATTATCTCTACCGAGATTATAATTGTGTGCTGCCGTGTTACTTGCACGTTTAGGTAACAAAATTATTCCTAAGTTATTATTACCTATAAATAAAAATTTTACTGGTCTGATTCAAAGGTTGTATTGTGTTGGATATCGTCCCTTTCGCGTCAATGGAAAACGTTTATAGCACACCGTGTCGGTGAAATACAAGAATTGACCGCTCCGTCAGACTGGTATCACATTAAAGGCAAAGATAATCCAGCCGACATAATATCGCGGGGATGTCGCGTATCTGAGTTGAACGCCATGTCATTGTGGTGGCACGGGCCTAGTTCGCTTTTGTTGAATGAAAAGGAATGGCCAAATACACCAAAAGAAATGATTGGCAGTAAATTAGAAGAAATGCCGGAATTTAAATCTTCTATAAGTGCTGTGTGTTCCACCGACGAAGAGTTTCAGTTACTATCAAAGTTCTCCTCGTTCAACAAATTATTGCGCGTTGTGGCTTATTGTTTAAGATTTAAAAATAACGCAATAGATAATTTTTACAAAAAGAAAAATGTATTTCATACTTCTAAGCGAAATGGCTTTGTAAGTGCGATAGAATTAAACGCAGCGAAGTTATGTTTAGTTAAGTTGGTTCAACGTCGATCATTTCTAAGCGAAATAATGCAATTGAGAAAAGGAAAGGAAATCTCAAAGGCAAGTGAATTATATCGTCTTAGACCATTTTTGGATGAAAACAATTTGCTACGCGTGGGCGGGCGTTTAAAAAACGCAGACGATATTTCAGTGTTTCAACGGAATCCTATGGTATTACCGTCACATTGTTCGTTTACCAAATTGTTATTTAGAGAAGAACACATCAAGTTAATGCATAGTGGCCCACAAGCGTTATTAGCATCTATTCAATTAAATTATTGGCCTATTAATGGTCGAAACCTCGCACGATTTACCGTTAATAGATGTGTTGTTTGTTTTCGTCACAAGCCTCAAGTGGTGCAACCGATCATGGGAGATCTACCAAGGGACCGCCTGTCTCCGGGTCGAGCTTTTTTAGCCACAGGTATAGATTTCTGGGGTCCATTTTTGTTAAAAACAGGATTAAGGAAAAATTCACCGGTTACTAAAGCTTATGTGTGTATATTTATTGTTTTGCGACATATGCGGTGCATTTTGAGTTGGTCAGTGATTTAAGTACCGATGCTTGCTTACGTGCTTTAAATCGGTTTTTTGATAGACGCGGAAAAAGTAAAACTTTGTACTCTGATAACGCCTCAAATTTTATCGGGTCAAATCGTCAACTTAAAGAATGGTATGAATTATCTCAAACTGAAGAACATCAAAGTAAAATTAATAATATGCTGTGTGAAAACGAAGTGGAGTGGAAGTTTATTCCTGCGCGCTCACCGCATTTTGGGGGTCTGTGGGAAGCTGGAGTTAAATCGATGAAATATCTATTACGTAGGGTTTTGGGAGATGCCCATTTATTTTATGAGGAGCTACATACTGTAATTACCAGGGCGGAAGCATGCTTAAATAGTCGCCAATTAACGATTCTATCCTCTGATCCAATCGACTTGTCTCCTCTCACTCCTAGACATTTTCTTATTGGTAATTGTTTAACTGCTTTACCTGAACCGGATCAAACGAACATATCAAGTAACCGGTTAACACGTTGGAGGCGTGTTTTTCAATATTCTCAAAATTTATGGAAGCGCTGGAATCGGGAGTATTTAGCGCAGTTGCAGGAGAGAACGAAATGGGTTGGTGAGAAAGGACCTAAGATAAAAGTAGGCACCATTGTCCTTCTCAAGGACGATAATATTCCGTCTTTAAAGTGGCGGCTTGGTCGTGTCGTAAATGTAGTAACCGGAAATGACGGTGTCATTCGAGTTGCCGACATCAAAACCATGAATGGCTCTTTTCGCCGAGGAGTTAGGTTTTTGTGTCCTTTGCTAATCGAAGAAAATTAATTGGCAATTTATATTCATTTGTAAAAAAAAATTTTTTTTTTTATACATTTATATTTAGTTGATTTTTGTAATTATTTGGTTTAAATATTTGTAGTTTATGGGATATAATGTGTCATTTATTGTTTTTAGTTTGTTATTTTATTGTTTTTTATATTTTTATTTTCTATATCTATGTTTATCTATATATTTTGTATAATACTGTTAACTACTACCTATGTTTTATTCTTGTATATCGTTTTGAAGACAATTCTTCAAGGCCGGCGGTATGTTGCGGTGTGCTCCATTGTATGAGTATTATTATGATTTTTTTTATTATTATTATCATTGTGATAAGCGAACGATCGGTTTTACTCAGCGGAGAAAAACCAGTCTCCTAATAAATGCCTCACTATTCACATATAGAAAAGTTCGTGTTATTAATTTATAGTTAAGCGACCTAAGTAATATTATTCTCGTAAAAAATAAAATACAGTCCACAGTCGTAACATTAATAATAAAAAATGCAGTACTTAGTGTGTAAAATGCATTTTAGAAAGACTTGTTTTTAAGCTCTAAAATTGGCTGTATAACGTCCTCTTGTAATACAACAGTATTAGACTTGAATAGAGTGTAATTTATGGACAGTGTCAGGTGTTAAAAATAGTCAAATAACATATAATCGGCATTACTTGCTAAATTACAAAAATTATATTAACTAAAAGTAGACAAAAAGATAAAAGCAAATTATTGATACATAATTAATAATATTAATGTTTTCGACTACAGAACACTCCGTTGGCTATTGAAGCTGATCGATGACTAGTACACTAACAAATTTCTTTATAATTCTAAATTTTATTGGCAAGCTAAATTAATTAATTGAATGAAAATTTATAAAAGCATAAGTCACACAAATATGTTTTTTGTAAATAACACTATAATTTATAAACCAGATTGTAGTTTTATATTTCCTTTATTCTTTAAAATTGAAGTTTAATAAAAAAAACTTGTTTATTTTATTTTCATTATATATATATATATATTGTCGTAATATAATCGTCATAATATAATTTATACGGGACAACACTGAAATACCCTGTTCGTGTACTCAACAATGCTATCTTTTAGTATTTATTAGTATATTCTTTTTTCATTTCAAATAGTTACCACTTCTATCCATAGAAATGGAACATTTTAATTGTTTCATTATACATTATATTCTTACAAAGACATGATCCTTTTCGAACAAAAACTTAGATAAACATTTAAGAGAAATAGTCAAAAAACTCACATCGTTTGGCTACGTTATAGTATATGCGGTTCTGTCATAAATCAATTAATAATTACTTTTAAAATCTTTCCTCACCAAAAGAAAATCTATATATTATTTTTGTCATCTTTGTTATTCTACTATTCATAGTTAAATACATTGTATTAATTTTTCGTCTTACTTGTAAAAAAAACATGTTAATGTTATATATGTAAATGTCAAAATAATTTATGTTCTATTCATCTGTATTGAACTCTGTGTTTCATGCTTATTCATCAATAAACAATTATACTAAAAATTCGACAGTGACGATTTTTGGGGGTAAAAAATATTATAAAACGCCAGAGCAAACCCTTGCTCCTGGCTGTTCATTTTGTGCTCCGTATTGGGCTGTTCTTTTCGTGCTCCGTATTAAGCTATGCGAACGTCGTGATCGTCATTGTCGAAATTTTTATGTGTTAATTTGTGCACTAAAAATTTGAACTTGTATTACTTTATTTATCATTTTTACCAATATCATCACTAAGGATATTATAAGATCTAGAGAATTTACCAGGTAAGATTTTTTAAATCGATAAGAAAATTTACATTGTTATTTTATGACCCTCGAATTACACACCAAATCAAATGTAACTCTCACTCACATTTTTTTAATTCTAACAAATATAATATTCTGACCTTTTTTTCTTTTAATCTTTTAATTTTATTTTTTTTTGTTAATTTTTGAGTTACGGCAATATTTATATATATATATTTTAATAACTAAAAGTGATAAATATTTAAAAAATTAAAGAAAAACTTATAATTTTTGAAGAACTTTTGTTTGTGAAGGTAAAATTTTTAATTTCAACATTACATATATGGGCATTATAAAAATTTAGTTTATTTTGGATCATTTATGAGTTGACTTTTATTTTTTAGTTAGTTCAAGCTCAGAAATATTTTTTTTGGTTATAAGGCTAAGGAGATGACGTTGATGCAATATGTTAGTATTGTGTATACAAAAACCGTGTAGCAAGATTAAGCAAAGTAG